GCAGGACTAGAGCACAGGGACATGGGCAAGGGGTGGGATAGGATTACTGTGGGAGGTGAGAATGGGCAGAACCCACCCTGTGTTGCCTGCCTGTGGGACACCAGCCAGAGAGGCGCCCTGAGGGGACCACAGTGGCATTGCCACCCGGCATCCCCTTGAGCTTAAGTCCCCCAAGCCAGTTTTTCCACCTCCTCGCTTCGTTGCCATAGGCAACTGCTCAGGTTACCTGGCTGTAAAGCCAGCTCTGGCTGCTAAATGGCGTCATAAAAATAAACAAATGCACCCAAAGCAGCACCCAGCACCAACCACCTTGGCTGGAAGTGGCTGCCCCTGGCAGGGGGCTGGCAGGAAGGTGGCAGCTCCCAGCCCCAGAGGCACCTCCTGAGTCAGTGTCCCATCAGCATCCACTGAGGATGAGACTGAGACACAAGAGGAGCCAAACCTCCCAACACCACTCATCTGTCCCGGCTCCTGCAGAGCACGGCTGTGGCTCCACACTGGCTGCGAGCCCTCTTTCCCCTGCAGACTTCAGCAATCACCAAGAACTGGGCTGGGTCTCTCAGGATCCAGTGCTAATTCTCCCTCCTCCCCAGCAGCACTGAGGGGATGAATCAGGGAGGTCACTAATCTGGGGTGACCCATGCCCACCCTGCTGATACACACACAGCCATGGCAGCACAGAGCTGGACGAAGAACAGCCAGCTCCAACCCCGCTTAGGAAAGAGCTAGGGGAGGCAAAAGTGGTGACAATCAGTGAACAATAGATGGCAGGCAATGTTATTTATTATCTCTACATCTTCAGTAGCCACGGGGCACTTCTTGCACCACGCACAGGGCTCTGATCGTTCGACTGACATTTGCTGCTCCCTTGTCTTAACCCGTTTTCTACATTTTGCTGCCTCTGCCAAAGGCCATGGAAAAGAAGAAATACGGCCAGTCTGCAATAACTAAGGTCCCTTGGTTGTTCTCCTGGTTTTAGTTAGTTTTGGGGGGACATGCAATGTGAAGCATTGTTGGAGCAGGGCTGAATGTGGCCCCCAGGGTTTGGACATGGGGCAGAGGCTTTGGGACAGCAAGGATGTCAGCATGTTCACTCCTCACCATCCTGGAAGGGCAGAATGAGATGTACAGGGACAAGCTGAGAGTGGTTTTGTGAAATAAAGTGAGGCAGGAGTAGAGAGGGCTATAGGAGAGCTGGGAGGAGACAGTGAAATTTCCCTCTTGCTGAGACATGCACAGGAGCCAGGACAGCTTTCTGAAACTGCTAAATCTGGTTTTGTCCAGACAGATAAAAAGACCCATGGAGGAGTATCTTCCTGGAAGATGCCACCACTGGTCCCAAGTGGGAAGCAGGCAAGGGCCAGGCCCACAGTGCCCTGAGTGCCCTGGTTGCAGCACCACCATTCCCTGGGAAGGCCTTTATCCCAGGAACAATGCCCTCTCCCAGCCCACCCTCGATTCCCCGAAGCTCTGAGGGAAGAATGGGAGGAAAACCCTTTTATTTCTATTTAACATCTCTGTTTTGTTATTCTTTTCACGGGCTTCCCAGATTTGATGGCTGCTATAGTCCTCTTGTTCTCATCTGCAAAGGGATCTCCTCCTTTCCGCGATTGTCTCCAACTCTGATCTTTGAGGTGACCTTGGGGATTCATTTCCCTTCTCCAACCCGAAATCCGGACTGTTCCAAGCATAAAAACATGTTTTGATCCAAACCATCATTCAAATTCACTATGTTCCATCAAACCACTTGGATGGACCCATCTTTTACTTCCCTTGGTAAACCACCTCTTTGCCTAAAATCCCAATTCTGACCCCACCAGATGTTATTGTGAAGACACTCTCCACCTGTACAAACCTCACCCCAAACCCTCAGAATAGCACTGAAAATTAAACTTTTTAATTCTTTGGGGATTGAGCTCTTGGGAGATGCAGTCATGGTGTTGGATGTGGTGGCAGACCCTTCCTTCTCCCCCTACCCTGTTTTCCAGCAGGTGGTTCCAGTGATGGGTGACAAGGAGGACACAGCAGAGATCCCTGGGATGGGGGCTTGGTGTGGACCATGTTGGTATCAAGCGGCACAGCCACTCCCTTGGCTCCCAAAACATTGCCTGGGTGAGGTGGCAGCTCTGACCCAAGTTTATTTTGCTGTTATCAGTCACCCATTCCTGTGTCTGACACCAAACACAGTGGTCTGCCCGCTTCCCCGAGGACAGCGACAAGCATTGGTACCATTAACCAGCAAACCCCAGCATTTATCACTCCAGCCTCACTCCAAATTAACTTCTCTTTTGATTTTTTTTTCTTGGTCTTTTTCAGCCTGCAAAACCAACCCATCCACACCACTCAATAAATAGCACTGGTGTTGTCCCCCAATGCCCCAGCCACGTCCCCAGCTCTTCCTCACCCAGCACGGATGTCCTCACTGCCATCCCTCCCTCCCTCCCTCCCTTCCAGCTAATGATGCTGTTAATGAACTTTTATTTGCAGGGAGAGGAAAGGAGCTGGAGAGGGGAAGCTTTGCAGGGACAAGGGAAGAGACATTCCTGCCTCAGTCATCAGGCAACTTTCCCCTTCCTCTTGCTCACTCCCTCACTGACCTTTGGCTGGGTCTGCCAGAGCTATAAAGGAAAAGGGAAAAAGGAAAAAAAAAGAAAAAAAGAAACTAAAAAGCAAGAGGAGCTGAAAGGACAGGCACAGGGACTGATGTTATCTTGCCTCTGCTAATGATTTATGGTCAAAGGATGGATGGATGAAGGCAGAGGGAGCTGTGCAGGATTGTGGGCAGCACAGAGGGAGTTTGCTGGGGGATGACCAAGGGAGAAGGAGTCAGTGAGGGGCTGAGACTGTACATGGGGACATACGTGCTGATCAGCAGAAGGAGAAAATACCCACGGTGAGTGCCACTACACCTTGTGAACCCGTCTCAAGGCACCTGGAGGTCCCAGATCTTACAGGCCATGGTGACACCCCCTCCTCCCTTGGCACACAGACCATGTGGTTCATGGAGCTCACCAGGGGATGAGCACTCTGCACAGTTAGGGACTGTCCACACTTTCATGGAGCACCCAACAGGGCCAGACTGTGCAGATGTCCCGGTCCTCTCCCACCTCCTCGGCTGCATCTACAGCCTTGTTTTGGTTCTGGCAACCATCTCGGAGCCTGGCACCTATCACTGCTGATAAATAGGTGATCCTGTTCCCCTGGGCTGGCCCTGTGCACCAGGATTAGCTGACAGCATCACAAAACAGTGGCATGAGCCATGGAAGAGGAATAGTGTGAGTAAAGATCAGAGCACTGCAGAGTGAGCAGTCACAGATCAACCATTTTGGGTCAGGAGAGCTGGGAGAGTCAGGCTCACCCATGCCAGCTAAGCTACGAGTCTTAGAATCACAGAATGGCTTGGGTTGGAAAGGACCTTAAAGATCATCTTGTTATTAAAGGTCCTCTAAGAAAGTCATCTTCCCTGAGAAAACAACACCACAGGGACAGACCTGTCCTGCTAAGGAACAGGGATGTATTTTTAAGTGCAAATTTATGCATGACATCTTGATATAATTAGTAAAGTCTTATTATGGAGCTGCCCCGTAGCAAAAAATATCCCTGACACATGAAATTCATATCCCTCTGCTCACCTCCAGATCACCACCACGTCCCCACATACCAGAAAGGTGACAAGAGGGACTGTGACAGGGCAGACAGGAGCGTGCAGGGGAAAAAATCCTGGCGGAGTCAGGGCTGGGTTGTGTCACCATTATGATGGGAAGCGGGAGGGAAATGGGGACTTTGCTAGACGTCAAGATCTTCCCCCTAAGGTGACACATGCCTCTGTGGGCAGAGACATTGGGGAAGTTTGGCTATTCTTAGTGTCCCTGTCCCACCTCCTCCTCTGGGTATGCGTGCCTCATCACGATGGCTACGCTCCTCCTCGCAAGCTACAATCACCATCTGTGAGCCCTACCCACAATATTACCACCAAGACAAAAACGTTTATGGCGTGTTTGCGTTCAGGGAAAACTTCCCATGCGCGTAAAAAAGTCATCACCAGCACTTTCTTTATCCTCCCCTTGCCCGGGGTCTAGCGGAGAACTTATTTTACAGCAAGTTATTTACGGCCTGACAGAAGCCACTGACAATTTGAGATTCACAGTTCCAACCCTGGGGAATGAGGCGGGTTTTTCTGAGGAGGCCTTCTACAGGCAGCAGCAGGAGACAAAACCATCTTTAAAACAGGATAGGGGGAAGCCCTCTCCTCCTCTACTGAACATTAACACTCAAGCTATCTCTTCTGTACATACTCACTGAGGTTTCTACCACTACCCTGAGCCACAGGGAAGCTCAGGGTCTGACCTAAGCTCATCAGGAGCTCAGCGTCTGAAATTCCCCCAGCGCTGCTGACAGGGCTGGGTTTCTTCTGCACTATGTGGAGAGTAAGGGCATAAGGGACTTAATTTCTCTCCCTCTTTCCTCCCCTCAGTCTGTCTCATCCATTCAGGTGGCTTCACCTGCTTTAAGAAGCTTTTTAAGCCGCTTAGGTGGGGAGGTGGGGATTTTCACAACATTGGGATTTGCAAACTCAAACACTGGGTTCGCCATCCCAGCTGCTGGTCTTTGCAAACCCTTGGACAAAGGGAGCATGTGCTTTAATTATTGTGCTTTAATGATCAGAAACACAATGAGCAGGAAGAGCCAAGCACCCCTGCAGACGTAGGTACCTTTGAGGTGAGAAGTGTTGAATGCTGTCAAGGCAAAAATCTCTAGGAATCATAAAGCAAACATGGGATCCTAGAATGGTTTGGGTTTAAAAGGATTTTAAGGATCATCTTGATCCAACCCCCTGCCATGGGTAGGGACTTCTCCCACTAGACCAGGTTGTTCAGTTGGTCTTGAACACTTCCAGGTATGGGGCAGCCACAACTTTTCCACTACGAACCAGGGACATCTCCACACTGCGACCCAACAGCTTGGTGGAAAAAGGACAGACTCAGAAGGCATTTATTTACCTCCCTGAGGCAGGTGTAGATGGGGCAGACCAGGACTCGAAAGGGCTCTCCAGTGCTGCTCCTCATGGTCCCAAAGACTTCACAGAGGAAGGTGATGAAGCCCAGCCAGCGCTCCACGTCCCGCTGCTGCAGCTCCTCCCGCATGGTGAAATCCTTCTGCAAGGGGGGGACAGAGACAGGAAGCGGCATCAGCAAAACCACGGAGAGGCAACGGCTGCCCAGAGAGGGAATTAGGAGGAAATTGAAACTCGGGGTGGCGGGGAGGAAGACAGACAGACTGACTCTTTAGTAACAGTGGGGAGATTACCCAACGCAAAGCGGAGTGGCTGGGGTTTCAACACAGCAAAGCCTCCAGAAGGCAGGTACTATGGAAATACCACCAGCTCCTGCAATAACTGCCATGGCTTGCACTACAGATGGCATCCCCTGTGCCCTGCTGTCCCTCTAGGGCAGACACGGGGACCCTTTTCCACATGCACAACCAAGACCTTAAATAAAATTCAGGGGAAATGCTGGTGGCCCCGCAGGGCTCGGTGGTCCAGGTGGACCTGCCCAGCCCATTCATTCCAGTATCTTCAGCAGACTCAGTGTCTGGCCAGGAACATCCTAATGGTCTGGCAGCTCGATGGTGTCTCACAAAATAATGGCAGAGACTGGCTCCCTGCCCGACCAGAAGATCAGGGCAGCCTGGGCTTGGCATTAAAAGGTCACCCTGCTCCTGAGCTGATGGTTGCTATGACTAAGGATTATCCCAGTGACGTGATTTATGGATCAACATCAGGAGGAAGCATGCAGGGGGATAGATGCCTCCTCATCAGTCCTCCAGCTGGGGAGAAAACCAGGGTTTGTCCAAAGGCAGGATGCGACAAGGGATGTTTGTGCTGGGAGTGTGTGGCAAGGAGCACAGGACAATACAGGAAAGCAAATAAAAACCTTTCTTGAGGATGGCACAAGGGAGTGCATCGTGCTCAGAGTCAAGGAGGTTTCCCTGGGCTCTAAGTGATGCTGCAGAGCTTCTTGCATGACATCCCATGCGACTTTGCTTGTCCGTCTCCATAGTGACCTTTCCCTGGCACTAAAAATCAGTAGACACTGAGCAGGGGAGCATTAAAGCAGAGGACAAGTTCGTTCTCCACACCGTGTGTTCCCAGGGCGGGAACATTTGAACAACATTGCACAACATTTGAAATCCAGCAGCTAAATAAATTGTCCCCTATATCTTTTTCATCTGAGTTTGTTCCTCCTGCCTGAGACAAAGGGCCTTTTGGCTGCTCTCTGCGAAGCCAGGGAGACATAAAAGCCACCACTCCGAAGTTTGCCCTCGTGCCCTGGACAAGACACAGGAGATCTTTCATTTAGAACAAAGCTAAGTGAAGCAGCTACCAAAGAAAGCCAGGCAAAAGCGCAATGATTATTTTCATGACACAACTGCACGCACAGAAAATCCAAGGCAGGAGCTATTTATATGTTTCATTACAAAAGGAAAAATAAAATACGTATTTGCATATGCAGGAAAAAGACTTGTAAAATAACCAAGGCACTTATTAACCAAACAGTGATGACTAATTCCTCTCTACACCCATTTCCATAAGTGAGTTGCCCAACTGTGTCTGCAACTCAACCTGCAGCCAAATCCTGTTGGGTCTTCCCAGACTCTCTGGGGGAGTTTGCAGAGTTCATCCTTTCATTATCCAGCCAGTCCCTGGGCAGCGATGGAGGAGTTATTTGCCAGCTCAAGTTATCATCCCAGAGTTACCAAATTACTCATTTTGGAGCTTTCACTTGAATTTTAATGCAAAAAAAAAGTCAAAGAGAAATGATGTTCTGAATTACTGAGAAATTAAAAAAGCAAGTGAGAGCATCCCATGCCCCTTGTCTGCCTTGTCCACCCATAGAGTGGAGGGAAAAAGCTCCCTTTGAACCCCAGAGCATTTCCTTGATACCCTGAGACCTCTCCATCCCCTGGCACTGTCTCCTGCATCTCATGCAGCATCCCACCTCCAGCCCCCAACCCATTCTGCCCCCCAACACTCCTTGTCCTGCCTGGGAAAGTCCACACTGACGTTCCTGGGGAGCTGCACCATATTTTGGGATCCTTGGGGCATGCTGGGAAATTCCTAGAGGCTTGGGATAACTGCATGGGCTCTGTGGTCCCGGATTACTGGGAAAGAATAAAAACCACTGCAGGAAATTCTCCCCCTTCCTGTTTCTGCTTCAAACACAGTGCCCTGCTCCTCAACCTTGCAAGAGAGAAAACTGACTCTTCAACATTTTTTCATAAAAAAAATATTTTCTGTAAAAAAAACCCCAAACAATCAAACCAACCAACCCCCTAAAAATTCCGTAAAACAACCAGCAAACCAAACCAAACTCATCAGGCCTGGGATGGGAGCTGGGTAAGAAGGGAAGTCACCACTCATCACCCTCTTTTTTTTTTTTTTTTATGCTGTGGCAGCCTGTGTGCGATACCACTCATCGGGGACATTGCAGAACACTGCCCACAACTCTGCAGCTGAAGAAGACCCTTGTAAAAGAAAAGGGACTGGAGTCCCCTGTCTCCTTCAGTCACAAAAAAAGCTTGTGCAGACTTTGACGGACCCCATGAAGGATGGGAGAGGGGGATGGAATGTGGGATGGATGAAGGAGTCACCAAGATCACTTACACCCAGAACGTGACGCTGCAGTGGGAATAATTTTGCTCCACCTGCAGACTCAGGCTGGTCCAAATTTTGCAAAAGGAGATGATTTGCATGCGCTCCGCGAAAGTAGGAAAAGAACCCTTCCTAGAGGTTTTCTAGACCACACCTGCCTACAGGCCAGAGCTGGGCTTGGCAAGGAACCTCCACGGCAGCTGGACTTGCAGTGCCAGGGCTATCCTGAAGCATCCTGACACACCCATCTGCTTCAGGTCTGGCATGAGCGGTGCACGAGGAAGGTGGTCCAGGGAGTTCTGCCCTTAAATTTGGCTTCCAGACAGCAGGTTTGACCTGAATGCCGCCCATGCAGAGGTGTCCCACCTCCCTTGGGGTATCCATGTCTGAGGAGACCTTCTAGGTGGTTTGATCTGTGGATTTTACACGTACAGTTCACCTGGCTGCAGGCCAGCCGTGCTCCCAGCAGGACGTGAGACCCTGGGAGAACACGGGGACCAGAGGGGGTCTAACCAAAAGGGATGAGCCAGAGCAACCACAGGGGAAAGGTGAGGAGCTGGCCAGCAGGGAAGAGCGGCTCAGTGGGGAACAACCCCCGTGTACGTCCTGCGTGCCCGGGGCACTTCCGATGAAGCCCTGCCCTGACCTGCAGACCTCCCCACGCCAGTGACAAGCCTTGAGGGGGCTGAAAAGCTCTGAAACCAGACTGCCGGGTCACTGCCCTGCCCAGTGAACTTTATTTGCTCTGGAAATGCCTCACGGAGTTATATAAAAATAACCTGTGGATTGGCTTGCCCCATGCCTAGGTGGTGATGTCAGGGCAGCAAGCAAATTATCTTTCATCAGTTTGGCTGTATTTTTAAACACGAATTGTATTACTAATTTGGGGGTGCTCTGGCCTGTAGATAATCTGGGTGTGTTTACTGGATGACCTTCATTCAGTGCCTATAGTTTAAAATAAAATGTATTTATACCAGGTAGCAGAGTTGACCTCCCTTCTCTGCCTGGTTTGGGAGAAGAATTCATGGGGAAACCATGTGGCAAGTGGGAGGATGCCCTCGGGACCTCTAAAGAGGTCTCATACAGGACAAGTTTGGGGCATAAACCTGAAGGCTGAGCACGTTCATCATGTTGGGCCTCACCATACGTGATGGGTAGGTTAGGATGGCGTGTATTCACATGTCATAGAGATGACCTGTGGCTCAGCCCATCTTCTGACATCCCCTGTTGGACCCTTTGTAAGCTTGGCTGAAACTCCTGCCAGCAGTGGAAATTCAAAATGCCTTTATCTCGGGCATCTCCACTCTTGGACCCCAGTGAGAGCCCACTCCTCATCCCAGTGTAGGTGCACGGCATGCAACACTATCCTTTCCTGGCCACTGAGACCTCCCCAAGCCTAGGACCAAGCTAGAAGAGCCAAGAGGAATGGCCACTCCATGGGAGAGGAGGCAGATCCATCCTCTAACATTTTTGGTGGGCAGCAGAGTCAAGTGGGATGAGAAGCAGCATTTTGCCACCAGATCTAAGCCCGCACTCCAGCCTAGACAGCTGCAGCTGAAAATTCATCCCTTGGGAGTTTGCCACACTTTTTTTAAGACGAGTTCCAAATAACTTTTCCCCAGATCTGGGCCCACCGACTCATGGCTGACTCTGTCAGCAGCAACCGAGGGCAAAAGTTTAGCGTGGGATAAAAATGAGGGTTAATTTAAGCATCGCCACCTTCTGATGGAAAAAAAAAAGGACACATTTGGGCTTGTTGCTCTGTAAACACAGGGCTCTTCCTCTGGCAGCTCTGCTGTTTACTCAGTCATTGTCAAGGAGGCAGGAAATACTGAGTCAGAAATACTGCACAAAAAGAAATATATAATGCTTAGATATCCGTGCTAGGAGCTATATAAAAAGCTGAGAGAGGCTGTGCTAAATAGTTGATCTTACTGGCAATGTGTTGCAAAAGGCTGGAGCCCTAAATGGCTCTTTGGAAGGGGCCTGAGACAAATCAAATGGGCTGGAGGAGGGAGATGCTGGGTAGAGGTTGAGACATCCTTTGCTGCTGTCCTGGAGAAGCACATCCTTCACCCACTCCCTCCCCAGACCTTCCTAAACTCCATAAGAGGTATTCTGCGAGTTAACATCACTGCATTGCTCCTTGCTTATAATTTAAATTCTGTTTGTGTTTAGGTCCTGGCTAGAAGGAGGTTCTGGAGTGTAGCTTTGCTTTCTGAGGAGTATAACCCAGTGAGATGAGTAGTTTGTAGCACTGGCATTCAGAAGAAGCTCAGGAGGTAATGAAGGAACCTGTGACAGCTCTGCCCATGGATGGTTGGGGTCTCAACGAGCTCCTCTGTACCACTCACAGCTTCACCGGGAATGTTTCACTCCACAGACACCACTACACGACCTCCTTTGCTGGAGATGGTGGGACATGGCAGGACCATTGGTTCTTCTCTCCCTTCAGCCTCCTGCAGCAACACTCCAGGCCTCTCTTATCTGACCCAGGGACAGAAC